CGCTGATAGGTCACGGGACAGAACCCAGGTGCCACGAGTTGACTGAGACGACTGCCCAAAGCACCACCAGCTCTGCTCCCCACTCTGCCAAATCGCTGATGTTTTAGCCGCCCGGCAGTTCGCTCCTTTCCCCTACGTTGTTGCTGGAGGGCGACTGTGGCTACCTAATAATGGAAGGAAGAGCGTTCCAGACGGCCACATAAAATGTGTAAATGTTGTGGATTCACTCTTCAACACACCGGTGGACTAAAGCGGTGAACTATTTTGTCTTTTTGTCAACGTGACGCTTTTTTGCTGATTGGCCGTGTCGGGTGGTGGAGGGTTACTACACATTTGTAAATAACGCGATCTGACCCAAACACCTTTATTATGGATAATATTGGTCGTGAAAGCCTGCTACGTGTTAAACTAAATGAACAACTTTGTTTAACTCACGGTCGAGGAGTACGTCAATGGCGTCTGCGTTTTGTCCGAGCCGATTCCACAGTTTAGGGACCGCGACGTTTTTGACCTACACACAAATATATAAATAATAAGGTGTCCATACAAAATGTAAATTGTTTTAAAGTATGATAATTGTTTTTTTACCCTTTTATCTGGCAACAAACTGACACCTTTTTTTACAAGGAGTCATGTTTGCATTGAGCACAATACCTGCGTTCGGAATGCAAACAAAAAACAACTCTGATAATGTATGCACTGTCCTTGAAGTTGATTGGTCCACACCTGAGACAGCTTTTCTTAGAGCCTAGTCTCACATGGTTGGACCAGATGACGCCAAAAGGCGCACAACTCAAAGACAACGCACCATCAGAGTATGAGAGCTCGGGGTAAGCATTTACACCATTGGAACCTCATTTGCCAGTAAAAATATGATAATTGGTTTTTTACCCTTTTATCTGGCAACAAAACTGACACTTTTTTTACAAGGAGTCATGTTTGCATTGACCACAATACCTGCGGTCGGAATGCAAACAAAAAACACAACTCTGATGAGATGTATGCAGTGTCCTTGAAATTGATTGGTCCACACCCGAGACAGCTTTTCTTAGAGCCTAGTTTCACATGGTGTTGGACCAGATGACGCCAAAGGAGGTTCCAATGGTGCTTTCAAGTAGCGAATTAATTGATTTTGATGCCGATTTTGATAGAGGCACGCATTGTCACCGGATCTTGAGCACGTGTGTGCAACGTGTGGAATTGATTTGATAACGGGAAGTGGAGGAAGTTTTAATTACAAGATTCGACCACGACAAACAGAGGAATCAAGTTCAGTAAAAACCGTTGAATAACACTGTTCAACAAAAACAAAATTCTGGCCTGGACTTTTGCAGCTGTTCTAGACTAATTCAGGGTGCTGATTCCAAATCTGTTCTCAGATTTGCTCTATCACATCTAATTTGTATGCTATCGGCATACCCCATTTTCATTGATTTTACCCGAAATGAACTCTGTCACATGATTGCAAGTTGTTGCGAGTCAATGACTGCTTTAGTGTTAAAATACGGTGCTGTATTTTTAGGATAGTGTGTTTATTATCATTTAATGTAGATATCCACATTTATTTAATATTTTTCTTCCGCAGTTTTTATTGAAATTGCAATATTTGATATCTCAAAAACCTGATGTGATAGACAAAAACAGATGCCAGATTTGGAATCGGCACCCCAAAATTACATTAAAACCGTTGGAATACCTTATGCCAGAAAAAGTGTGTTGACCAGCGTTAGCGCGGTTAAAACTAAAAACTAAACTTTTTGTTTACCAGGCAAGGCCCACCGACCTTCACAGCTCTTTCAGAAGTGACTTGGCCACAAATGATCGCTCATAGAGAAGCGGCTTATCGTTTGGAAATGTACACGAGCCGGAATATGCCAGAAAAGTAAACCCGTAAAAGCAAAGTTTTTCAATATAAATCCTTTATATGCGTAGCATCGGGGCGGCTAGAGTCCTCTCGTCCTCTGGCTTGAGATGGCTGCCACCTATGGGTCAGATGATTGTCTGGCAGCATTAAACAAGAGGCAATTAAATATTTATTTATTTTCCCCTAAACAGTGTAAAATTTTGGGAACAATTTTTCACGAAAATGCATTGTCACGCACAACGAGTCTGTGTACAAAATGTCAGCTCGATTGGATCACGGGAAGTGGGTTAAAAAACGACCGAAAGATTTGCACGGTCCTAAGCAAGCAAGCAAGCAAGTGAACTTAATATAAAGGATTTAAAAAGTGTGTTGACCAGTGTTATCGTGCCTCGCCCAACCGCGAACCAGGTCTGTCGGATGTCCCGGGCGAGGCGATGGTGAAGCTCTACTGCCCCAAGTGCATGGACGTGTACACACCCAAGTCGTCGCGTCACCACCATACCGACGGAGCCTACTTTGGCACCGGATTCCCGCACATGCTTTTCATGGTGCACCCCGAGTATCGGCCCAAGCGCCCGGCGAACCAGTTCGTGCCGCGGTGAGTGGCTGCCCTCGCTAAGCTATTTTTATTTTGCCAGGTAATTACATTAAAACAACATTGAGCTATCGGGATTATTTTTCAGCAACGACCTGACCATCAACGAGAAGTGGCTTATCATCATCGTTGTGTGGAAATTAATATCAGTTAAATACTCTAAATACTATCTTCATTTGGAGCTTTCGTGACTGCAGGAATTACTCTTTGGTTCTTTCTGTGAAGTCACGTATAAAGATAAAATAATAAATTAAATACTAGCATACAACGTTTCGATTGCAACACAAGCAATCATCAGGTATAAATGAAATAGAAACACAAATCTAGTATACTCAGAAATGGAATGTAATACAACAGAGAGTCGGATAACATAACAGTCAACACCCTACCTGGTTGATTACGTTCTTCCTGAGAATGCTAAATTTGACTTACTCTAAATACTATTTGACTACTCTATTTTACCAGGTAAGGCCCCCCCCCCCCAAACAACATTGAGCTATAGGGATTGTTTTTCAGCAACGACCTGACCCATCAACGAAGTGGCTTATCATTATCATCATCATCATCGTGTGTGGAAATTAATAGCAGATAAATACTCTAAATACTATCGTAATTTGGAGCTTTTGTGACTGCAGGAATTACTCTTTGGTTCTTTCTGTGAAGTCACGTATAAAGATAAAATAATAAATTAAATACTAGCATACAACGTTTCGATTGCAACACAAGCAATCATCAGGTATAAATGAAATAGAAACACAAATCTAGTATACTCAGAAATGGAATGTAATACAACGAGAGTCGGATAACATAACAGTCAACACCCTACCTGGTTGATTACATTCTTCCTGAGAATGCTAAATTTGACTTACTCTAAATACTATTTGACTACTTTATTTATTTTACCAGGTAAGGCCCACTGAGCTATGTAGAAGCCCCTTTTCAGTAGTGACCTGCGCATCACAAATGATAGGTCATTTATAGCAGCCAGATAAGCTAAATGCATGACGTTGATTATGAATGCGGGGGGAAAACCGCTGGGAGAAAAATCCACGCAAACACGGGGAGAGAGAGAGAGACACGCACACTCCAAATATACCCACGGACTCCTGCACACCAGGCGAGGTAGTTAGCATCTCCTAGCCACCGTGATGATGATGAGAGAGAGACACGCAAACTCCAAATACCCACGGACTCCTGTACACCAGGCGAGGTAGTTAACATCTCCTAGTCACCGTGGCTTGACCAATCGGGGAGTGGCGGGGAGGGAGGGATTCTTTGGCGTTACCGGAAACCGAATGATTCCCTTTTCCTGCCGCCGTTCCTTCTCTCTCCCTCTCTTTAACACGTTGTCCTGCTGCTGCGGAGGGAGCTGGTAGGAACGTTGGGTTGCTCGGTCAATGGCCTGCAGGGTCAACGGCGGCGTGGTGTATTCCGCAAATATGGCCGACTGTGAGGGCGGGCACAAGCCGGCGTGAGTAGGTTAAGCGTTGAGTTTTATAAGGGCACCACGGGATGACCAGCCCCTCCCCACCCAGCCCCTCCCCACCCGGCCCCACCCCTCCCACCCCCCACTCAGCCCCACCCACCCCACCCAGCCCCTGACCACCCTCTCCACCCAGCCCATCCCCACCCAGCCCTTCCCTCCCCACCCAGCCCCTCCCTGACGGACGGACACAATAATCCCCTGTGGGCTAGTGTGTAACCAGGAGGTTCCTACCAGTATCATCCTCTAATCGCGAGACGTTTATTATTCATAGATACTATTGATAGGTCGTTCTACCATCTACGTCCATGCTCCTTCGCTAGAGCCGCTTGCGGCTGATTTAAAGTACTGCACGTGGTGTATTAAAGATCCTCGTGCGGCTCGGGAGAGACCAGTTGACCACCACTGGCGTGGATGTCTTTTGTGCGGAGAGCGGCGGGTTGACGTGAACGCTTAACCGGTGCGTTCTTTTCGCTTGCAGCCTCTACGGATTCAAGATCCACCCCATGGCCTACCAACTGCAGCTGCAGGCCGCCGCCAACTTCAAAAGCCCAGTGAAGGCGCTGCGCTAAAATCGCTGGCGCGGAGAAGACTCGACCGTGTACACACACGCACGTACACACACACGCACGTACACGCACGTACACGCACGTACACGTACACCACCACACCTGTGTCCACGCACACATGGCTACGTGTGTGTGTGGACACACGCGCTTATGCGTGCGTGTATACATTCAGGCATACGTTGATAAACACCTACACACACGAGTATAGATATACACGACTGCACACACAGACACAGGGATGCATGTATGGGTACGCGCGTGTGTGTATGCAACTCTGATGTGTGCACGCACAAACGTGCGTATGGAGGGAAACGTGCACACGCGCGCGCACGTATGCATACACGCGTATGCACGTGCACAATCACCACCCACCACACACACACAGACAGCTGTGACTCCCAAAGTCCCCATTAGTTCGTTAACATTAAATCGTGAATGTTAAGGAGCTCTGCCAGAAACGTCGATGGGCAGTGTTGTGAGTCTTGCCCTTTGGTGACCCCCCTCCCCCCACGCAGATGAACACAGTTTGAGTTTGGCGACCGATTGCACAAGAAAAAAAATGATGATGATAATCCACACTCCCAGCGAACGCTTCGGTGTTTTCATTACGTGCGTCCTCGCGGGGGCAAACGCATCGATTTCCACCCCGACGGTAGTCGTGGGTCCGAATCGTCCCGGGAGCCTTTTGTGTAAACAACTCAGGGGGGGGGGCGGTGGTGGTGGGGGGCCTTGGCGTTTCTCTGGCGTGAATTTGATCCTTTGAAATCGGTAAATGTGTTTCCTCGTCAGTCGTTAACCACCCACACCCTCCCCCCCCCTTCGTGTTGAGTTACCGGCCCGCGGAAGTGGATAATGCGGAGCCACTCGCGAGGTCTTTCCCCACGTGACACGCCGCTGGTCTTGGAGGGGGGGGGTGGGGGGCAGCTATCCCGCCCGCGCATTTAATTTCGGGAGCCGGAGGCTGTGAATGTAGGCGAATTAAAATGCGGGGAGCTGGGACCCCGGCTCTCAACGGGGGTCTGACTCGTCATCTCTCACCTCTAAGCCATCAACCCGCACCACAAAAACAACAAAGATCCCCCGTGTAGCCTTTGCAGACTTGGCGCAAGTGCTGTTAGCGAGCACGCATGAAGGCCGGCATGGCACGCGAGGGGAGTTGGTGGTCAATGCCACGCCCGACCGCGTTTGTCTCCCCAGTGGCGGTGTTTCAACTGCACCAGGTATTCATTTGAGGCTGAGTCGACCTAGGGGAGGCCCAGATAATTGTCGCTGGTGTTGGCCGTGAGCGGGAATTGAACTCGGGTCTCACAGGTTCATAGCAGAGTGCGCTAACCGCTACACCACCCCACCACACACTAATTTAAGATAAAATTAATACTTAGAAGAAATAACAATGACATTGGCTCTTCACTTATCAGGCACAAAAAATTAGAGAATAAGTACGTCTATAGAAAGTTTAAGTTAACATTTTAATACAAAAAAAGCAAATGTGACGCGCTGAAGATTGCTGTTGCGAACGCACGGCGTATTCCAAGAAGGTTAATTCGTTTTTATTTTGCGGATGTTTTGTGTTTGTGAAATAAAATTCTTCCCAACAGCATCGATTGCTGGATGCCCCCGATTGCTGTTATCTAAAATGGGATGTTATACCTGGCCCTTTACAAATAATACTGGTAGGAACCTCCTGGTTACACCAGCCCACGGGGGATTATTGTGTCCGTCCGTCCGTCATGCGGGGAGGGGCTGGGGTGGGAGGGGTGGGGCTGGGTGGGGGTGGGGCTGGGTGGGGAGGGGCTGATCACGCCCTGGTACCCTTATAAAACTCAACGTTTAACCTACTCACGCCGGCTTGTGCCCGCCCTCACAGTCGGGCATATTTGCGGAATACACCACGCCGCCGTTGACCCTGCAGGCCATTGACCGAGCAACCCAACCGTTCCTACCAGCTCCCTCCGCAGGAATGTGTTTTTCACACCTACGTGACTTTACCGATATAACCAAAGAGTATTGATCCTTGCAGTCACGAAAACTTCAAATCAATAACAGCAATTTTCTGTACTTTTGAGGTATAAGCAATTGGAAAATAACACTACCCAGAGACAATATTTTTGTTACAGTGTAATCACGCTCTCGTATGCGTACCAATTAATAATGACTCGTATGCGTATTAATGAATTACTCGTTTGCGTATCAATTAATTAATACTTCTCGTATGCGTAACAATAAATAATCACTCGTATGCGTAACGAAAAAAAAAATCAGGAATCGTTCTGTTTAGAACACGAATTTATTAGTAGCGCGTAAGAAACAAAAAACCCGCGTGTGATTTTGTAACAAAACGCTTTTTAAAAACGGAGCGGGGAGGGGAGGGGGTGTGGGGAAGGAGTCGTTGGAACGACGAACGAAAAACGAAGGAACAATGGAACGCGCGTGGAGGGGCAGGGGCGTGAAAAAGTCGCGTTTTTTTGCGAGCGACGGGGGAGAGCCACAAAACGAAGTAAAGAGTTTGGCGAAAACGTTGAACTAACAAGGAAGAAAATACAATTAAAACATTCAATTTTTTGTTAATACAAAGCGACGCACAAAAACAATTAACACATCAAAAATGCCTTTAAAAAATGTTTTAAAATGTCAAAAGTATTAATTTTTTTTTACAAAAAGAATTTGTAGACTTTGTCACGAAAGAATGTCAACAAAAGAAAGAAAATGTCAAAAATTTCAAGCAATGTATAAAATGTCGAAAATTGTCACAAAAAATGTCAAAGTCAATGAAAGAAATAAAGTTAAAAGAAAAGTTAAATAATACGTAAACATTTAAAAATAAAAAAAAACATTCGTCAAAAAAAGTCTAACAAAACAAATATGTAAAAAAAAGAAATTGAAACATTAGTAAAAAAATGTTTTTTGCAACAAACAAAAAGTTTCAAATTTCCCTTTTTTAAATCGGCCGTAACACTTTTTTTCCTCCCTTCGGGGGTTGTCAATCCACGACGCCGCCGCCGACGGGTCAAAGGTGCAGCCCCTGCAATGGACGCAGCCAGAGAGGGTGCCACGCTTCTCCCGGCAACTTTACAAAGGCAAAAAAAAACGTAAAGTGCAACAACTAGAAAGGACTTCTAAATCGGTCTGTGCGGTCTCGACTCCAAAAAAAACGTGAGCGATTAAAACGTCTTCTTGGTTCTTTCGGTAAAGTCACGTAGAAGGGAACTAATAAAATAATAAAAAGAAAACAAAATTACGTTTTATTTTAATTAACATTTTTTTAATGAAATTTGTTTATTCAGAATTTTCCCCCCATTTTTAGTTATTAATAAAAAGAAAACAAAAGAGTTAAATGCTTATTATTTTATTATTTTAAGATAATAAGCAAACAATTTTTTTTTATTTTAATTAATAAAAAAATTATGAAATGTTTGTTTATTCATATTTTTTATTAACAATTTTATTTATTAATAAAAATAAAACATAATAAAACAAAATTGTAAATTATTATTTCCCTTCTACGTGACTTTACCGAAAGAACCAAGAAAATGAATCCCTGCGGTCACGAAAGCTTTAAATCGAAGATTAAAACTTAGTATATATAAAAAAAACAGCAACATCAACTTCGTAGCGAAAATGTTATTACATTTTTAGTCTATTGACCGGCAACAGCAGCAGGCCTTCTCAAACGATTATTTAAAAACTTCAAACAAAACAATTCGCGAGCGGCATTCAAACAATAAGCCAGGGGTGAAGGTAAAGGAGCAGCCCCTGCAATTGCGAGTTCTCGGTGGCATTGCGCGCTGTTTGTTACACAAATCTTAAATAAATTTAATAAAAGTAAAATAAAATACAAAATAAAAGAATTTTCTTTTTCTTTTACTTTCATTAATTTATATTTTTTACCTACGTGACTTTACCAAAAAAAACCTAAGAATATGAATCCTTGCAGTCACGAAAGCTTCAAATCTAGCACGCGGGGACCCCCCCCCCCACGCCGGTGGCGGTCGGCTGCGGAGAATAAACAAACTCACGGCGTCAACAACAACAAGAACAACAACAACAAGAACAACAACAACAAGGAAGAACAACAACAAGAACAACAAGAACGAAGAACGCGACCGCCACTGCGTAGGCGAGCGCGGTTGCGGTGAAAGCGGTTGCGGTGAAAGCGGTTGCGGTGAACTTTTTATGGTGAACGCGTTCGTGGTGTACAGGGTTGTGGTGTACAGGGTTGTGTGTGCAGGGTTGCGGTGAAAGCGGTTGCGGTGAAAGCGGTTGCGGTGAACTTTTTATGGTGAACGCGTTCGTGGTGTACAGGGTTGTGGTGTACAGGGTTGTGGGGTACAGGGTTGCGGTGAAAGCGGTTGTGGTGAACTTTTATGGTGAACGCGGTCGTGGTGTACAGGGTTGTGGTGTACAGGGTTGTGGTGTGCAGGGTTGTGGGGTACAGGGTTGTGAGGTACAGGGTTGTGGGTGCAGGGTTGTGGTGTGCAGGGTTGTGAGGTACAGGGTTGTGAGGTACAGGGTTGTGGTGTGCAGGGTGAGGTACAGGGTTGTGGGGTGCAGGGTTGTGAGGTACAGAGTTGTTGTGTACGCGGTTGTGGGGTACAGGGTTGTGGTGTGCAGGGTTGTGAGGTACAGAGTTGTTGTGTACGCGGTTGTGGGGTACAGGGTTGTGGTGCAGGGTTGTGGGGTACAGGGTTTTGGTGTGCAGGGTTGTGGTGTGCAGGGTTGTGGTGTGCAGGGTTGTGGGGTGCAGGGTTGTGGTGTGCAGGGTTGTGGTGTGCAGGGTTGTGGTGTACAGGGTTGTGGTGTGCAGGGTTGTGGGGTGCAGGGTTGTGGTGTGCAGGGTTGTGGTGGACAGGGTTGTGGTGGACAGGGTTGTGGGGTACAGGGTTGTGGTGGACAGGGTTGTGGGGTACAGGGTTGTGGGGTACAGGGTTGTGGGGTACAGGGTTGTGGTGGACAGGGTTGTGGTGGACAGGGTTGTGGTGTACAGGGTTTTGGTGTGCAGGGTTGTGGTGTGCAGGGTTTGGGGTACAGGGTTGTGGTGGACAGGGTTGTGGTGTGCAGGGTTGTGGTGTGCAGGGTTGTGGTGTACAGGGTTGTGGTGTGCAGGGTTGTGGTGTGCAGGGTTGTGTGTGCAGGGTTGGTGTACAGGGTTGTGGGGTACAGGGTTGTGGGGTACAGGGTTGTGGGTACAGGGTTGTGGGGTACAGGGTTGTGGTGGACAGGGTTGTGGTGGACAGGGTTGTGGTGTGCAGGGTTGTTGCAGGGTTGTGGTGTACAGGGTTGTGGTGTGCAGAGTTGTGGGGTACAGGGTTGTGGTGTGCAGGGTTGTGGGGTGCAGGGTTGTGGTGGACAGGGTTGTGGTGTGCAGGGTTGTGGGGTACAGGGTTTGGTGTGCAGGGTTGTGGGGTGCAGGGTTGTGGTGGACAGGGTTGTGGTGTGCAGGGTTGTGGTGTGCAGGGTTGTGGTGTACAGGGTTGTGGGGTGCAGGGTTGTGGGGTACAGGGTTGTGGGGTACAGGGTTGTGGGTACAGGGTTGCGGTGTGCAGGGTTGTGGGGTACAGGGTTGTTGTGTACGC